ACAGGATGTGTAGGGGGTACAGAGACGACTCGGAATCACATAGGAATGCAGAGCCTAAAATGCTGTAGTTGCAAGCTGTGTTGAAAAGAAATAGAAACAGCTACACATTAATTTAACAGGAAACATTTTATTGAAAGGTTGTACTGGAAGAGGTGTTCGAAATTACGACCAGAAGTCATCTGGCAGGCCTGACAGCAGCGCTGCATGGATTCCTTATATTCTGGAAGATTCCTGGCATGTCACGTATCCTCCCTACAGCTACAGACATTCGAGCGATGACGTCTTCAATTGAAAGAACGGGCGTCTCCTACATGTGGCCTCAGAAGAAGAAGTCCATGCGTGATAGGTTCGCTGATCTGGCAGTCCAATGAACCGGGCCACTACGACCTATCCATCACTGTCCAAAGGTAATGTTGAGATGTCGCCCTCCGGAGTGGATAATCATCAGGCTCTAATAACTGGACACTATGAAGATGGTATGTGCTCATTTGGGTTTGCTGCGAGTATCCTCCAGACAATAGATTGAGATAAACCCACTTGTTCAACTATGGCTCGAGTACTCATATTTAGAGAGTCTTCTGCCAGACCTAAGATCGCCTCCTCATTGCCAAGTGTCCCCGTCGTTCGCTGTCGATTCCTTGTAGCTTTCGTTAACAACCAGTCTCACGTAACCTTCTGATCACACTTGCGAAGATCGTGTGATGTAAAGCACGTCAGTTCGAGTAACGTTCCTGGTACAACCACCGAGCGGTATTGGCTCAGCGGTTTCTTACAAACTTTTCAAACAAACTTTTCAATATCTTACAAACAAACTTTGTTTACAAACAAACAAACTTTGAACAAACTTTGAAACAAACTTACAAACAAACTTTGAAACAAAACTTTTCAATATCTTACAAACAGTGAAATAAGCAAAAAATGACATAAAAGCAACTCAAAAAACATTAAATTCCGCGCAGAATTTTACTCTGCAGAACAACTTTATCAAAAAAAAAAATCAATAAAAATGTATTATATATATATAAATGACAATGAAATATGCCAATCTCTTAAAAACAGTTACATAAGAAATACGATGAAAAATTGTTGCCAAACCCATATTTTTCTAAAAGAATGAAACTATTCAAAATGATGCGATTTCATCAAAAATCTATCAGCAACAATAATAAAGGAAAATCATTGTTGCTAAAATCACATTTTTAAAGATGTGAGATGTGAGAAGAGAACTCCGGAGCTTCATTAATTTTGGTTTTTTTTTTAAATACAAAATATTATCATTTTTCCAAAATTCTTTTTGTAGAAGCAGTCGCAAGGATGAAAGTTTAACGTGTCCAAAAATCAAAGAAAAATAAGGTATACATTTTTTAAAATAAACTTTTTTAGAAAAAATCCCGTTGAAAAGATGTTAAGTTCCCTTTGTTAAATAAATTCGTATTTAATCGATTTATTGAAACACGAAATTTATTTTATGTTCGTAAAATAGCTAAGTGCCCACGTTTCATGACGATGTGAAAATAGAGTGTGTAGAGTAAAATCTCGCTTTCCTATAGCCCGTTATGTCTCAAATTGACGCGATTTCGTCACAAAACATAAAATAAAAAAATTTCTAATTCGAATTTCGAAAAAATCGCTTCGAGGTGCACTGGCCGTGGGTCTATTAGCTTACGCGCAGCGCGAACAAAAGGCACACACAGGCAGACTCTTTCTTTTATTATATGTAGAGATTAGATATAGTTTTTATTTCACACGTAGGGAAGCTATGAATGCTATTTAAGTAAGTAAAATGCATGATCTCTGTAATTAAAGCTGTCTATACGCCTTACGCATTATTTTGGGTATGAATATGGCCAAAAACAGATCTAGGCGCTGCTCAGGCAACTGAACATCGATGCCTTTCCGCATAACAGTAATCTAAAGACGAGGTAGCATATTCTTACATTTGTATGAGTCTAGTAGTAAAAAGGATTAGTTTCCAGTATGAAGTAGCGAAACATAAATTACTTTTAAGACACAAAAAGCGTTTGCAGCACTAAATCCGAAAACAGGGCAATTTGTCACAATGATTCGTTTCCCTTCCTGTAATCACTTGCAGTCTTTTAGTGAGACAACGAATATTGTCCATTAAATAATCACGAACCGGAGAATAGCGAAGATTTAATTTCCACCATTATAAAAATTTCCATTGCTTCATATAATTTCATGATAGGAGCTTAGCAATTATTTTGACATTGGGAATTAAGCAAAAGAAAATCTGAATTATTCGAATCCAGAAACGGCAGTTACTGTAAAATGATTTCCAATTATTTTGATTCAAACTTCGCATCAAGTAAGTGGAACTTTGGACTTGGCATCCCAATAAATTGAATATTGTTTCTTCTCTCGCATCGCGTCAATGAATTATAAAGAATAAGCTGGAAGGAATAGCAAAGAAACAGGGAAAGAAGAATTGTTCTTTATGACAGAAACTAATCTGGCAAATACATCTAACGTATAGTCAGCTACTAAGCAAAGAGCTAATTGGTAATTTCCATTAAGCAGCTAAATTGCTTTGGTAACCACAACCAGAATTGGAGAAAACGGTTCGCACCTCTTAATGGAGGAGGAATCACCGAGAAGCATTATGGCTAAAAAGAGGAGAATGTTTTAGAATTTTGAGAAATTATTAGCCAGTGAATAAATTTAGAAAAATCACCGACTGGATAAATTTTTTGACCTTGCCAACTTTTTATTTAACAAAATATACGAAGATAATCAACCAAATACAATGATTGTAGTAAAGAATTACAAATGTAAATAAAATTATAAAAAAAATTCAGTAAATTCGTTTGGGAGAATGAAAATACAAACAAAGTGATACATAAAATATTACTTAAGTAAGATACGTTTTTTTTTTCATTTTTAAGTAAGATAAGTTTTTTCAAGATAAGTGTTTTCATAAATGTATTTCATACATTTCATAACACACTTTCTTCCTTCAGCCTTACAGTGATAATTCTTGAAATTGTTCGAAGATAGGGTCTTTTTTAAGGCTCGTACTGAATCCAGTGTATCACATTCGTACATAATGTGCAGGGCGTCTTCTGTATGAAAACCACATGAACGTAAGTCCGAGGAATCTTAATTGCTTGAGGAGTGCCAACTTCGATTCCTTGCTTAGACACAGCATTGCAATTATCATTGACGTGGTCTTCCACTGAGTAGTGTTGTGTCGCGAACTTTAATTGCGCTTATGTTATTTAATCAATTATTATTTAGTTATTCTATTTAAAATGACTTGTAAAGAGCGTAGTGGATAGACATATTTTTAACAGTTAAAATCATTAGCTATTTATATTTCAATGGTTCAAGTTTTCTAAAAGAGATAGAAAGCTTTTCCTTTTCGAACACCTGGATATTGGCATCGCCAATGTTCTATAGGTGTAGTAAATAATGTAGCAAGTGAATTTAATCTTTATGCTACATGTGCCAATAAGTAATATTCTGATATATTACACTTAAAGATAAATTTACAATATTACACTTCAAGATAAATTTCTTTTGTAAGGATATCTTAGTAGATGGACTTGAACACGAAGAGGCCTATTGGTTCCACTTGTAATCATCCAAAATAGCTGTTCTCCTTCAAGTCAACACAACAGTACCTTACCAGAAGAATATGAGTGTTAAGAGATACAGTAAATATAGTTTACATTACAGAATTTATCAGCTGGTCATAAAATGAGACACATAAACTTCTGACAGACCTAAGATCGCCTCCTCATTGCCAGGTGTCCCCGTCGTTCGCTGTCGATTCCTTGTAGCTTTCATTAACAACCAGTCTCACGTAACCTTCTGATCACACTTGCGAAGATCGTGTAATGTAAAGCACGTCAGTTCGAGTAACGTTCCTGGTTCAACCGCCGAGCGGCATTGGCCGTTACAATCCGCAGATCCATACACGATCAGTATGTCGACCAGTTCATCGTTTAAATACGCGTTTATCTACTACCTCGAAAAGCGGATAGCGAAGTACGGCTTTCAGCAGGATCGCTGTTTAGGCAACCTTCCGTTCAGCGCCATCTACCGCAAGACTGCCGGAAGGAATTCTTCTGGAGCGCAAGCAATTCCATGCAGCGCCGCTGTCAGGCCTGCCTAACGGCTTCCGGTTGTAATTTCGAACATCTGTTGTAGTACAACCTTTCAATAAAATATTTTCTGTCCCGTTTAACGTATTGCTGTTTTTGTTCTTTCTCTCTGCTCCTTTGCACCATAGCTCGCAACTACGGCATATGCGACCCTCCAATCCTATGTAATTCCGAATCGTCTCTGTACCCCCTACAACCTTGAAAGTTTGTCGGTCTGGAAGTAAATCAACCTGCGTAGTTCAAAGGCCAAACTGTCAAACCAATTTGGAAGGATATCCTGGTTCCTATGCTGTAACACAGCCGACTTCCAAGTCGGCTAGCTCCATATTATCGATTTCGCGTAACAGTGTTGGGAAAAATTATCGGTTTTCTTGGTTTCGGTAGACGTTTTTGGTCGACAGAAAAACTTTCCTATAATTTATAACTATAATATTAATCATCGTACTCATAGATTAGTAGTAACAAAGTTTATTTCATAGATTATGTATTAGTAATGTGAATTAATTCTAATTTATTCTTAAAACGGAAACAGTTTAATTTATTTTTCTAAGGCATTCTGCATTTCTGTTTGGAAATTATATAACAAGTACTATCGTTGTTTCTCAATAGCTGATTGACGTTTTTGCACATTTGTATTTATATTACACAGTTATAAGAAGAAAAAAAAATATTTATTGTTATGAAGAACAATAATTAATAATGATAAGCATCCTTTTTGTATTATTTGAAAATTATTGTAGTTTCTCGCAGAAAGATTTATTGAATATACTCTATATTACTACCAATACAATCTTAGAACTAGAATAGATATGTTTTTCCAGTTTGATCTCAGTTTTTATTTGTGGCAATAAAATCTCATTTTCTTTCAATTCTTAGAAACCCAACTTACTTCATTTCCTGTGCCGCCGATTATGCAACTCTACAGTGCTCCAGCCTTGCCCGAAATGTTACTGTAGAAATTGCCCGTGAACTTGTCTACGCACATTCTGCCTGTGCTGAGAGAGCCTGGCAAGAACTCTCGCCTGTCATACCCAATCTGGATTTGGAAGAATCTCTTAAACTTTCACTGATGAGTACTTTAGAAGGTTTATATCATCGTAACTAAAGAAAAGAATGACTGCTTTCAATGTAATAACTTCAGTAAACTGTGTAACGAAATGCTTGTCTACGCACATTCTGTCTGTGCTGAGAGAGCCTGGCAAGAACTCTCGCCTGTCATACCCAATCTGGATTTGGAAGAATCTCTTAAACTTTCACTGCTAAGTACTTTAGAAGGTTTATATCATCGTAACTAAAGAAAAGAATGACTGCTTTCAATGTAATAACTTCAGTAACCTGTGTAACGAAATGCTAATTTGGAAATTTTAATAAAGTGCTCATTTCGGAATGTTATTTTGGAGCTATGTGTAAATGTTTCAATATTAAATATAAAAGTTTATTTTCTTGATTGTAAATATGCGTTCCTTCTAAATATCTAAATAATTAACATACAAACGGATAAGCTGACAAAGAAAACAAATGGTTTGTCTTGCATCCTTTCAGTTTCCTGATGAGAGAAAAATCAAGTTTAGGTGTCAAAGACAGAACATACTATTTTCTTTGAAAATCAACCTTCGGAAAATGTGGAACATTAATGTGGAACTAAATAAAAGAATAAACCAATTGCTTCCAAATGAAAAACATAATGTACCTGGAGTCCAACGTCCCATCCTAAGGTAATTCGTTATTATTTCAGGTACTGTAGTTAAAAAAGCAGCACACATTTCAAATACATGCAGTATATGAATGTTACTTGCATTTTAAGGGTTTCTGGTATCTTTTAAATGATTTTCTATATTTAAGAACTTTCGTCCATTTTTATGAGTATATGATTAACTTTCTTTCAGACTGATTTTAGGCTGATTTTTTCCCTGGAAAATTTAAATATTTTACTCTATTGGGCAATTTTTTTTGCTCTTGTCGAAGAGGAGCCTTATACCTGTTCGCTCTCTAAATCGATTGAGTTTCAATTAAAATCTACGCAAAACAAAAGGTTATCTATTTTCCCCTTTTTCCTTTCATTGTCAATTATTTGCTCCTGGTTTTATTTTGTTTATTAGCGTCCTTATTCTGATGATCCAAGTTGCTCTACACCTGCTGCCTTGGTATATTTTCAAGACAATACAGATAGGCGAAATTTACGTTGTATGTTTTGTGCATAATTCTACCAAATGTTTTTCTGCTCGCAAAATGTCTTTAGGAGGTAAAAGAAAGCTTTTGGTTCAAACGCGCGCCTGTTTTCGCTGCCTACGAGATGGACATAGTTCACGGGCATGCAAAAATGAAGTAAAATGTTTTACTTGTGATAAATTTTACTATACCATTATGTGCTCTAATAGCAAATCTGCAAAGCCTAATGAAACTGAAAGTACAGTTATTTCAAGTAATGTATTGTCTAATCAGTCAACTTTTAATAAAAATGTTTAGTTGCAAACACTTGTTTTAATAACAGTATTCGAAGGCAGACAAGTTCGTTCGATTTTGGACAGTGGTTCACAAAAATCTTATCTTTCAAAAAGCGTCATCACGTTTTAGCATCTCCGTCCCAAATCGAAACAAACCATTAAACCATTATACACGGTTTGTTTGAGGGGAGAGAGACAAGTCCTCATTCCCATTTAGTGTTTGATGTTAGTTTAAGAAATTATGAGGGCACGTATGACCATAACTTTGAAATAGTTTCTCAAACCAAAATACGTGGATCTGTTCCAAAAGTATTTTATCACAATGCCTAAAAGAATTAAAAGAAAGAAGTATTACCTTACCTGATTTGCTAGCTAAAGAATATGGCACTGAATTGCTTTTAGGAGTAGATGCCATCGGGGACATTATTACTGGAAGATCTCCGAAACTGAACTCGGGAACTGTAGTTAAGACTAAATTCGGATACACTGTGATTGGTAAAGTAAACAGCTTATCTAAAGAACCTATTTCAGCTACTATTCCAACATTACTAGAAAATTGTGCTAATCTTAGTGTAACCGAAATCTGGAATTTAGATGCCATTGGCATAATGCCTTTGGTGCCTTTCTACAGACTGCTCACTCTCACACCGTTAAGCAATTTAAAGAGAATTTAAATGTTGTTCCTGATGCGCGGTATGAATTGCCACTACCCTTTAAATCTGAAATTCTGTTACCTAACAATATGACCTTTAAAAGGCTCTACAACCTTTAAAAGGCACCAAAGAATGTGGCGAATTACTGAGAAAAAACATTTAGATGACTATAATGTAATTTTTAATCAATGGAAAGACCTAAAAATAATAGAAAAGGTACCTGAAACAGAAATTGATAATGAGTGATTATTTGCCCCATAGACCTGTTATAAAGCGTACTAGCCAGACAATGAAGGTAAGGCCGGTGTTTGACGCTTCAGCCCGAAAGAGAAATGAACCGTTCCTATATGATTGTTTAAATAAAGGGCCAAACTTAATTGAACTCATACATGATATAATTGGATACCTGGCTCTCACCCAGGAGGCCCGGATTCGATTCCCGGCGTGGGGGCTGTTTGGTAATGACTAACAGACGCCGTTGTGTGTTGTCCGATTTTACCTGGCAATTTCAAGCAAAATACCCGAACTACCGTAATTCTAAATACCAAAACATGATATAATTGACAGGTTTAAACTGTATGCAATTGGTTTATCATCGGACATTGAGAAAGCGTTCCTTCAGCTGAATATTATTATCATAGAACACAGAGATTATTTGAAGTTTTATCTTCCAACTCTTGAAGAATCTATGATCTACAGACACCACAGAGTAGTCTTCGGCGTTTGTTCATCTCCATTCCAACTCTCAGCATCGATAGAGAGAGCACCTTTTGGATAATTCACCTGCCGAGTTTGAAGATGTGACCCAACGATTTTGACGATGTGAATTTTCAATCCATCCATCATTCGATTAGTCATGAATACTGCGGTTTGTGAAAAACGCAAAAAGTAAACCTGCATTTCGAGAAACTGGACATTTAACTGTTCATGAGATGGAATATGCCAAAGAAACTCTTGTATAAATTGTACCAAATAATCATTTCTCCTACGCCGACTCTATTCCTAATGTGAGTGTCATTTCAGACAGAGGGGGTATAAAAAGGGTGAAAACTCGCATTACAGAGCGATTGGACGACCCTGAATTTATTTGTCCAATTGTTTTACCAGACCTGTGCATTTTCGCACAGCGTCTGATCGAATATTATCATTTAAAAATTGTCACGCTGGAACACAAATATTACTTGGAATATTAAGGGAGCGATTTTGGATAGTGAGGGACAGAAGAGCAGTCAGGAAAGTCGTAAAAAATGTCTAAGATGCAGTCGATACAAGGCCAAGTCTCCCGGTTGCGAGGCAGTATCCCTACCAGGAGATCGTGTCAATAACGCTACGGTTTTCGACAGAAGCGTAGCTAGGGTTTTCAGCGCTCGGGGGCAACTGAAGATTTTGCGCCCCTTTCCGTGTGCCACGAATGGAAAACACTTCATTTAAAATTTCATACCATTAATTTGGCGCCCCATAGATGCTGCACCCGGGGACAGAAATCCCTCCTTGCCCCACCCTAGCTACGCCACTGGTTTTCGAGGTGGATGGAGTTGATTTGGTAGGATCCTTGTATGTGAAGGAAGGTGAAAACGTTTGGATTGTTTTGTTCACGTGTGCAATATATAGAGCCTTTCATTTGGAACTGACTTCCTCATTGTCTACTTGACACACTCTTGTTGTCATTAAGGCGATTCGTAAACAGAAGAGGGAGGCCGAGAATAATTTATTACGACAACGGGAACCAATTTTAGAGGAGCGCAAAGAGAACTTAGTAACATCGATTGGGAAAAAAACGTTCGAGGCAAACGGCTGTACAACGATTAATATGGAAGTTTAATCCTCCCACAGCCGCTTGGTGGGGTGGTTGGTAGGAAAGGTTAGTTCGTGTAGTAAACGAACTGTTGAGGACACTCGGTAACGCGGTTCTTATGGCGTGAACCAAATTCACTATATTTCACTATATTATAATAAGCGGTTTATAATCTGCTTATTATAATATAGTGAAATATAGTGAAGCGGGTTATAAACCGCTTATTATAAATTCCCTTCTATCGTCTAGTTAAGGCTGTGAGATGCATACTGCCAAACTTAGTTTCTTCTCTTTTATATGATCAAAAATACGTTTTATGATATTTTCATATGTACCTAAAGCAAGTAAAATTTCAGCTAGGCAAAATTTTGTAATTGCCCAATTATTTATTTGTATTGCTTAATTTTTCAAATAATACGAGGGAGCAATAATGAAACATTCTCTCACAATTTATGTGTCAGTAAGTAATTTTGTACATTTAATAAATACAGTGTGGTTATAATTAAAGTGACCCTGTTTAGACCCCTGTAGAACCCGTTCTCCCTACCGGATTATGATGGAACTTGGTGTTATATGGACTATGGGGAAAAGATTTCTGCAATAAAAGTAGTTCAAATTTTGACTATCAGATGCCAGTTTTCAAAAATGCCTTATGAAAATTATTCAAACCTATAATGAGACTTGCAGCCGGAGCCAGAAAATCATTCTGCGTACCTTTGTCATGTCCTTAAAGAAGAAAGATCGAGCTTTACTGGTAAAACTGTTTTATCAGACCACTGTCTTCAAGCAAGATGGAGCAACTTCCCACATTGGGTGCCAAGTCAAAAAACTGCTTCGTGCTAACTTTGGCGAGAATCGTGCAATATCCAGAGCTTTTCCGGAAGCCTGGCCTCCTTGTTCGCCCGACTTAAATCTCTGTGATTTCTGGTTGTAGGGATTCCTGAAAGGTCATATTTACGGAGGAGTAATTATGACTTTACCAGAGTTGAAAGCCAGAATTACATGCCATCATGCTGAAATCCCTCGAGAATTACTTCGCGCTACCACTGAACCCGCTATAATGCGCTTTCAACACGTAGTTGATGTCAATGGAGCACAAATTGAGCACATTCTGTAATTGAATAAACTTTAATGATTCCGACAGATATTTTGTCCTTCTTTAAGCTCCACAACTCCCCCTGGTGGTCAAAGTTTGAACTATTTTTATTGCAGAAATCCTTTACCGATGGTCTATATAACATATGTACCAAAGTTTCATCAAAATTCAATAGGTAGAACAGGTTCTAAAGTGGTCTGAATAGGGTCACTTTAATTATAACCACCCTATAAATAAAAACTTTCATATGGTGCTCTTGTCACCGCTGTATCTTGCGAAATTACCCTCGACGATTCTTTGCTGTTATTACAAAGATGAGCTCTTGATTGAAGAAAATTACTTTTTCACTTTTTAGTAAGAGTCTGAAAAGAAAAGTGTCACATAATAGTTTGCGTTTCCTAGCATAATGAT